TAGGGAGAAGGATTGGTCATCTACTCCAGAAATAATAGGCCTCAGAAAGCCCTCTATACAACAGTAAATTTGAGTAGACTAGTGGATATGACATCAAAGACAAAACCTTCTCATTGAGAATCGCAAAGGAGAAGCAACAGTTGTAAACACACTACTGACTGGAAAGTGGAATGTGAAAAATTTGAATGTAGGAAAATTGGAGTTTGTTAAGGAAGAAATGGAACACACAAATGTTGAAATACTATGCATTGGAGAAATGAATTGGGTTGAAGTCTTTCTATCTCTCCCTCTTTGGCCCTGGTTGTTGGTGCATGTATTTAAATGATAATGATATTAATAGTCCCTCCTGGTATGCATATAGATATTATCCTATCACTTATAACATTGTATTTCAAGATGGATCTAGAAATAGTCTTTTTAACTATCAAAGACTCCATTTTTCCTCACCTTTTCATCTCCAGTGTGGTAGATAATCTGATAATATGATTCAAAATGTCCCATGCCAACCAGAAGACTTCTACCAACTTTTGCTTTGATAAATGTCGATAGTTGTAGAGGGAGGGGTTTCAGGCCTTTTGTTCATAGGGTCGCTATGAGTCGTGCTCAATTTGAAGACAATCAACAACAACAACAATTAACCTTTGCAGTCGGAATGATCGAACATGAAACCAGGACACTTCAATAATAATGCGTGATTGGAATACAAGAGTAGGAAACAGGGTAGGAAGATCAATAGTTGGAAAGCATGGACTTGGTGACAGAAATGAGGCTGGAGACAGAAGGACAAAATTCTGTACAATCAATTTCCTATTCATTGCAAGTACCTTTTACAAGAAACATAAACTGCAACCAAACACATGGAATTCATCTGATGGTGTACACAGGAATCAGATTTGACTACATTTGTTAAAGAAATCACTGAAGAAGCTCAGTATCAGCTGTGAAAACTAGGCCAGATGCTGACTGTAGAAAACACCATCAATCCTTCAATTACTCATATGCAAGTTTGACTGAAGCTAAAGACAATAAAATCAAATCCATAAGAACTAAAGTCTGATCGCAAGTCTATCCCACTAGAATTTAAAGACCATCTCAGGAATAGATTTGAACCCTTGAGCACAACCAAGCGAAGACCAGATGAGCTGTGTGTGTGTGTGGGGGGGGGTGGGGCATAGCAAGAATATTATTCCAGAAGAATGCAAAAAGTCACTGCAAAGACAGAGGAGAAAGAAAAGACCAAGATGGATGTCAGAAGAGACTGATTATTGCACTAGAACAATGAGAAGCTAAAGCAAAGGGAAGAAATTAAGAAGTTAAGGAGCTGAACAGAAGATTCCAAAAGGAAGCATGGGAAGACAAATCAAAGTGTTATAATGAAATACGCAAGGAGCTGGAGGTGGAAAATCAAAAGGACTGAAGTTGTTCAGCATTTCTTAAGCTGAAAGAACTAAACCAAATTCAAGCCTCAAGTTGCAATACTTAAGGATTCTGAAGGCAGGTTGTTGAATGACCCAGGAAGCATCAAAAGAAGATGAAAGGAGCACACAGAGGCATTATACCAAAAGGAATTGACTAACACAGAAGAATTTCATGAAAGAACATATGATCAAGAACCTATGGTGATGAAGAGAAAGTTCAAGTTGCTCTGAAGGAATTGGAAACAACAACAACAAAGTAAGTCCCCAGGAATAGACTGAATAACCAATGAACATATTTCAGCAAACAGAAGCTCCCTTAGATTCCACTCACTAGGTTATGCCAAGGAATCTGGTAGACAACTACCTGGCCAACTGAAGAGATCAGTATTTATTCCCATTCCCCTAAATGGTGACCAACAGAGTGTGAAAATTATTGAACAATATCACTATTATCACACGCAAGCAAGAGCCTGCTGAAGATTATCCAGAAACAATTGGAACAGTACATCAGCAGAGAACTGCCAGATGTGCAGGCTGAGTTTAGAAGAGACTGTAACACTAGGGACATCATAGCCAACATTAGATGGATCTTGGCTGAAAGCAGAGAGTACCAGCGGAATGTTTATCTGTGTTTTGTTGACAATACAAAGTCATTTGACTGTGTGGATCACAACAAATTGTGTCTAACCTTGAGAAAAATCAGAATCTGAGAACACTTAATTGTGTTCATGCAAAACTTATACTTGGACCAGGAAGCAATAGTGAAAACAGAGCAGAGAAACACTGCATGGCTCAGGATCAGGAATGGCAGGGGCAGGGATGCATCCTATCTCTATATGCTTTCAATCTACATGCAGAACAATTCATTTAGGAAGCTAGACTTTATGAGGAGGAATGCAGCATCAGGAATGAAGAAAAATTCATCAACAACCTGTATTATGCAGATGACACAACCTTGCTTGCTGAACCTGAAGAAGAAATGAGGTGTTTGCTGCACAAGGTCAATATGAAGTTAATATGAAGTTCAATGTCAAGAAAACAAAGATTCTAACCACTGGGCCAATTAGTAGCTTCATGTTGAATGGAGAAGAGATTGATATTGTTGATAACTTCAGCTTGCTTGTTTCCACAGTCAACAGTCTGGGCAGCAGCAATCAGGATATCAAAAGATGAATTACATTGGGAAAGTCTGCTGTTAGGAACATCCTAGACTGCTGAAGAGCAAGGATGTCGGTCTGGAGACTAAGGTGTGCCTGATCCAGAACACGGTCTTTGCCATTACTTGTTATGCATCTGAGAGCTGGACAATAACTAAGGATGATAGAAGAAGGATCAATGCCTTTGAGTTGTGGTGCTAGAGAAGAGTATTGAACCTACTGTGTGGACTGTTAGGAGAACAAACAGATCTGTCCTGGAGAAGGTGAAACCAGTTTGCTCCCTGGAGGCAAGGATTTTGAAGTTCTGTTTCACATACTTTTGGCACTTGGCCAGAAGGAACCAGCCTTTCAAGAGGGACATCATGCTTGGGAGGTTGGAGGGACGGTGCAAGAGAGGAAGACCCAGGATGAGATGGATTGACTCGGTGACTGGGGAAATAGGATTAAGCCTATTGGAGATGATGAGATTGGTTCCAGATAGGACAGGTTTCACAGCTAATGAACATAAGGTTATTGTGAGTCGCAGGCAACTAGATGGCACATAACAACAAAATGAGTTGTAGTTGTCTTTACAGTGCTTAACAACAATATTCCCTCGCAGACAACTGACATTTTCAAGTGATTTTCTGGAAAGCATATCTTGACGCAAATATGTAACTTATAAAATGGGCATTTAAGATCAAGTGTCTAACTTCTTAGGCCCAGAAGATCTTTCAGATCCCAAGTTTTATACGAGTCTAATCCTTTATAAGCATATTACTTTTCTTTATAGATCAAAAGGGCATCTGCTTTACTACCCTCCACCTCCACATCTCCCTCAGCTACACTCCTTATAATTCATAGAGATTTGAAGTAAGACGGCACTCAGGCTGTCAGTTTAGCTGGCATAGATACGCCCCAAATGGGGCCACACATTAAGTTATTATCAGTCATTAACTGCGTGGTGCATTGGTTTATTAGGTGTTCTTTGCGACACTTTAGAAATGGACTTACGTTTTTATTGGTTGGGTAGTTAGGGCTAGGATGGGAGCCAGGAGCATTATCCAAGGAAGAAGGCAATTTAGAGACAATATCCTCTCAAGAGGACTAGCCTTGAGTCTAATAAACTAGGCAAGTCAGATTTTATTGCTCTTGGTCTAAGAACATTACCAAACTTTCAGGGCAAAGGGTAAGAACAAGACATTCTTCTGAAAGGGTTATAAGATTCCAGGCAGGGAAGAATGAAAGTAAATATCTGAGTAGTAAATATGCAATGTTTGGATGTGGTTGATGATAGTTACCATCAGAACAATACATTAAAATTTGAAATAACTTTTGGTGTACTCTTAAGTGTTGGTGCCAAAAGAGAGAGAAAAAGATTATTTTCTTTCTTCTGATACATATCATTCCGTTATAGTTTTGATACTTGAAAAGTTACACAAAATGGAAAGAAACTACCTTATGTTATTTTAGGGAGCTTACGGATAACATTGGGAATAATAGGAATTACAGAGTACTTAATTATGCTAATACGGACCCTGTACATAGACCAACAGATGAAGAGGAATTGTGTGATTAAAATCAGGAAAGGTGTATGTTAGTATTATATCCTGTCATAAGAGGATATTGTCGTTGTTGATTGCCGTCGAGCGGAGCACGATTCATAGCGACCTTATGAACAAAAGGTCTGAAACCTTTCTGTAACTATCGTCATTTCTCAAAGCCCACAGTTTCCGACGGCATGCTGTTTATAGGAAGTTGAAAATCAGGACAGATATAGATAATTTCATATATTTATTCAGTCTCTAGACTGTTTAGGAAGTTGAAAATCAGGACAGATATAGGTCATTTCATATATTTATTCAGTCTCTAGACTGTTTAGGAAGTTGAAAATCAGGACAGATATAGGTCATTTCATATCTTTATTCAGTCTCTAGACTGATTAAAAAATCTGAAAAAGTCAGACTGTAAGAAGAATGCAACATTAGGATTCAAGAATCACTGTGATATGAAAGCTAGCTGGAAGTGAGGTCTTGAACTTGCTTATTATGAGAAAAGTTACAGACCCTAGATGTGTAAATTCCATGCACTTACAGTCTTGAGTCGGCTTGGTGCTCAGTTCTTTCAGGGGAAATTCACAAATAAATCCTAAGCCACTCAAGGAAGAAAGACTGTTCTAAGGCCTATGTGTTAAAACTCTTTAGTTGGGAGGGCAGGCCTATCTAGGGGAAGGGTGTTATGGCCCCTCCTTCTCTGCACTAATCTCCGCCCACACCCTCAACTTCTTCAGGCCTTTTTGCGCCTTTCTCTGGCCCGCCCTTCCTCTGGGTGTCTGAACCGGGCGCGGGAGGCGGGCTCAGCGCTGAAGGGCCGCGCCTCTGCAGCCGAAGGGAGGAGGGCGGGAAGGAGGCAGAAGAGGCGGGACTACGCCGGGTGATAGCCGGCTCGAGCTCGGTGGGAAAAGAGAGGATACCCCGCTGGGTCGGCTGGCGGCCTCGGTGTGGGTCCCAACGCCGCAACCCTGCACCGCTCCCGCCTTCGTCCTAGGCTCCGCGGCCTTGGGCACAGCGGAGGCAGAGGAGCTCTGGGCCATCGGTAGGTTGCCAGAAAACGACGACTTCATCCTGCAACCTTTTGTACGCAGCAAAGGTGGTGGTGATGGGCGGGGTGGGGGGGGGGTGGTTTGTCCCAGTCACTGATCCCCAGTGCGAACCCAAATTGCGGCGCCGCCCCTTCCTCTCTGCCTCGTGTCGCGGCCGGGCGCGCGCGGTGTCTGTGCGGTGCTGGGGAAGGCGGCTGGCCTCCAGGATGGGCGGTTGGAGTGTACCCTCCTCCGGCTTCAGTGGGGTGGTCCTCGAGCTCGCAAGCAGGGGGCTAGGGTGTGGTAAGCTGGGTGGGGCTCGGGCGAGGTGCAGAGAACTGCGGTTCCCTGGCACAGGGGTGGAGCTGGAGACGCCGTGAGTGTGCAGCGCGTGTAAGTGAGTGTGCGGGGGTGTGCGCCTCTGTGTGCGTGCGGCGTGCGCTCGCCCGGGAGGTGCGGCGACCCGGAGCGCCTCGCCCGCCGTGCCGCGGTGCGGAAGTCGGAGCGCGTTGGCGCGCACGTTCGCTGCCGCGGCCGCCGTACCATACCGCGAGGCACTGGGCCTGGGGTCCCATTGAGAAGTAGCTTTTCCCTGGGCCTGCTAAGCCGCTGTCCTGTTGCTGCCGCAGGGCGAGAGCCGTGACTGCCTCCTTCAGATAGCGCTGCCAGGCGAGCCCGGGCGACCTTATCGTGCTAATGCTCTAAGCTCCCCCTTGCAGTCTTTGGGGCGCGGCCCCCCAAGCACCAGTAGCCCACGCCTGCCGCGTGCCTGCTGGTGCGGCGGGGGCGGGCGGCCCAGCCGTGACCGTGTGCGCTCGCGTGAATTCGGACTGGGTGCTGGCCCACAAGCTAAAGCGGCAGATGTCGACAGGGGCATTGCCTCCCTCGCCCCACCTGTCGCGGGTCTTTGGGTCGGGAAAAGGTTTTGAAGGGGAGAGGCAGTCAGACCTTGAGCAGTCGACCCCATTGTGAAGCTGCCAAAGACTCTCTAGTGGTGGAATCTGCAAATCTCTGCCAGAAATGGGAACGCGAAGGGAATGATGGCCCTGTCCTTTTCCCCTTGCTAGTAGTCCGCATCCTTAGGGACCCCTACGCCTCCGTCCAGGCCAGTATGCACCTGGATGGGTTATTGATTTTTGTTGTGCCAAGAATCTGTATGTATATGGCTATACATTGCACTGGCAAAGCAGGATCTAGGAACTTTTTAGTCATTCGAGAAGAAGAATGGAGGCAGCAGCATTTTGTAGCATACTTGTTTAAATTAGGTGAAAGAACAGTTCTTTATAATTCTAACACTACCAGACTACTTCGTTGTTTTGCTTGGATGAGCTACTCTTCAATTTTTTTTTTTTTTAACATTCTGACATGCTGTAGAAAAGGGAAAAGGTCATCTACTATTTTTGCTGCTATTTTATTTTTCTTAAAACCCTGTAAACCAGGAATAAGCAGTAATGTGGATAGATGTGTCCCCTTCCCAAAGTTTATTTTCCCAGGCGCTTCAAAACAAAACGAAACAAAACAACTAGGGCCTTGTGAATTCAAGGCCACATTTGGAGTTTACACAGTTATGTTCAATGAGTACTTAACGGATTTCTTAGTGTTTTTTATTAAATAACAAGATATGCCTTCTAGATGCCCTTGTGACTCAGTTACTAAAGTTCCCAGAAGGTAACCAAAATGTCAGCAGCAGTTTGAACGAACAGTATAGGGGGAAAGATGAGGCAGTCTGCTTCTGTTAAGATTTGCAGCCTTGGAGAGCTTATGAGACAGATCTGTTACGCCCTATGGTGTCACTGTGAGTCAGAATCCACTACATAGTGATAAGCATTGTAAACGTTAAAAGGGGCAGGATGAAACTTGAATTAATAAGCCTTAGTGGTGTCTAGCGTGTACTCTTTAGTGATAAATTGTTCTAGGTGAAAAGTTAAAAGGTGTTTATTGACCTTAAGGTATGCTTGTAATGCTTGGTGAATTTTTTTATTTTGTTAAGTGTTTTTATTTATGAATATGTTGGAAAGCTGTTGTCCACACTGACCCTTAAATTTATTTAGTGTGTTGGAGATAACAGAATCCTTATATACAAGATTTAAAATGTCATTGCAGATTTATAACCTGTGGGCAGGAAAAAAAGTTAGGTATTTAGATCCAAATATAACTTATTTTGTGTTTAGGCTATCAGAATGAGTAGTCAATTCTATGCTTTCATTTAAAAAGTTAATACAATTCCACATGTGTATACCCGTCACACTTTGGTTATACTTCCTTAGAAGTAAATGTCTTGAAAAAAAAAAAAAACCAACATGTAGTTCTGCAGTTCAAGTTACTGCCAATCGTATTCAGTGAAAGGAATTTTTTTTTCTCTCCTAAAAGTAGAAGGATGACTTCACATTGATGGAAAAAAAAATGGGTAACCTAGTTTTAATTTTTACTAGCAGATATTGGAATAAAATGAATGCTGTACTTTAATGAGCCTGCTAAGTAAAAAAAAAAAAAAAATCAAAAACTATTGTTAGAAAGAGAAACATATTTTTATCTTACTATGTGCTCAGTGTGGGTTGCCATATCAGGTAGGTGAGGTTAAATGGTTTGTTTGTAGAGGTTAAGAATGGCCTCAGAAAAGTTATACCCAAGCAGCTTTTCTTCAAAAACTTCTGATGATTTTGGTTTTTTTTTAAGTTGCAGATGGTAAAGTAAGGTAATTTGAAAGTAACTTTGAAAATAAACATAAAGATGTAGCTTAGGGCTTTATAGTATGTGTAAGTATTGCATTTTCACAATTAAAACTTATTTTTGCTCAGTATTTCGCAATTTAAAAAATGTCTTGGACATTCTTCTATTCATTTTTAGAGAGCTCTTTGGGATTCATAGTTGCAAAATATTTCCATTAGTCTGAATGAAATGTGTAACCAACCCCAAATTGCATTTTCTTTACTGGTCTCTCATCAAACAGCCACTTTGAGAGATACTACTAATTTTAGTTTTTTTCTCCCTTTATGTTTTGGGAGCTAGACTTAGGCTTCTAACTTTTTTTTTCCAGGCTTCTAACTTACTGTGTCCATTTTTGCCTGGATTTGCTCTTGCTTTTCATACTGTTCTTAAGGTTCATTGTATGCCATTGAGTTGGAACGGACTCATAGCTGACCCTCCAGCAGGTTTTCAGAGGCTGTAAATAGCACAGGAGGAGACTGCTCATCTTTCTCGTGCAGAGTAGTTAGTGGATTTAAACAACTCTTGCTTTTAGATTGGCCATGCATCTCTTTACCTCTAGACTTTTTTACCAGATTCAGAAGGGTTATGTGCTATTCTTTATACTTACTTACAGATTTATTAATCAGAAAGTGAAGCCAGGCTGCCCCTTAGAGGCAAGGATTCTGAAGCTTCATCTGACATTATTTGGACATGTTGCAAGGAGGGATCCTTGGAGAGGGATGTCATGCTTGGGAGGGTGGAGGGACAGCGCAGGAAAGGAAGACCCTCAATGAGATGGATTGATTCAGTCACTGGGGTAATGGAGAGTAGGTGTATCAAAGATAGTGAGATTGGCACACAATGGGGCAGAATTTAGAGCTGTTGAACTTAGGGTTGTAGTGAGTCGCAGGCGACGCGACGGTACATAACAACAGCAACAACAGTGTATGGTTTGTGATAGATTTTGTTAATCTTTTCCCTTGTTGCTGCTTTATATTTATTTATTGATGTAAGAAGAGTGTTGTGGGCTTGAACATCTACATTTATTCATATACATTATGGAGCTTTTTTACTTTGGGGATAGCCACTCTATGGTCTAGAGCCTTTAGAACTGATTCTGTTATATGTGATAAGTTAATTTTCTAATCTGCCTATTTTCTTTTCTGGCCTGGTCTCACCTCTCCTTTGTATTTGCCCCAGTTCCTGTACAGTGCTGAAAGAGAATAGATTTGAAGAAACATTGTTAAATAACTGAATGAGTATCTTAATAAAAAACCGAGTGAGTAGTGAAGAAGTACTCCTTAGATCACTTTGGGAAGTCCTATGCAAGCAGACAGTATGGATTTATTTTTCCTCCCTTAAATTTACTTCCTTTCTATAACTTATATTACTTTAGAGCAGGATAACATTATAATTACCAAACTGGTACATGTTTAAGGTGATAATGAGGGTGCACTCCATAATTTTGCCTAGGCACTAGTTGTAAACTAAGACTTACTGGCCAGCCAGCTTTGTGATAAAATCTGCCATTTTACCTGAGAAATTTGACACACTTGCTAGTTTATCTTTGCAAACTCTTCTGTTTGTAGAAGCTCATTTGCAGTCAATACTGGATGTCTTTTGCTTAGTCACCTATAGCTTCTTTCCCCAGAGGCCTGCTTGGCAGCTTTTGACCATGTTTAATTTTTTTTTCAATGTTTATTGCTTAAAAGATAATATTTTAGGGCCTTCTATTTTTGAGAGCAGAATACACCACTGCTGATAGATGGAAGCATGATATTCTACACACTTTGCTCTGATTATTTCTTCAGTCTGTTCCTATGCAGTGTTTAGTCCATCTTGAAAGAATTTAACTTTTCCCTCTTGCTGACTGTTCTGGAGATATCTATTAATGTTTTTGTGTTTAAAGCCCAGGCCAGATCAATTGAGAGTGTCTGAGATTTATAGATTTTTAAAGTATTCTAAAAATGTGTGCTGTTATATTTGGAAGGTATATATTTTGGGGACTTTGTATTACACTCTGTTAGTTATTGAAATTAAAGGGCAATGAGAGCAAAACCTTTAGCGTAAGTTTTGTAGTAGTTTATAGGCAGTCTCTCAAACTATATTCTTACACTAGTTTTTTGCTTCTTATAAATGTTTGTCTTTTTTCTTTTTTACCCTCCTCTGGGCAGTTATGTGCTTATAGCACTCACTTGTGCACAACACTGTAAGAAGTGTCAAAAATGAGTGGAAAATGCCATAAATGGGGAGGAGTCACAACCTTGGTTTCACCTTGTGAGGCTCTCTTGAACGCGGTGTTTACATTCTGTTTTTGTCTTGGCACTGGCATAACAGGGATAATCAGTTACTACACTTTGTTTACTATGAAATTACCTGCCATTTCCTACACTTCCACATTAACTCTCATATAAGAGGTAGATAAGGCTCCCTTCTTCTTTGATCCACATTGAAGTGTAAGTTGATTTATTTCTTTGTGTTTGGGAAAATAAAAAGCTTGAAAAGAAGATATTGACAAATATCTGATGCAAGTAATGGTCAAGTCATGTGAAAGATTTTAGATGATTTAAAATTCTGCTTAATTAAATATTATCCAGGCTTTTCTGATGATCCAACTTCCTGATTTTTTTGGTTTCAGTTTTGAAAATGCCAAATGAAATGGATCTAATTAAGTGGCGATATATATGTATATATAAGCACATACACATACACGCATATACATAGGCAGCTCTGGTGGCCTAGTAGAAATATATATATACACACACATACATATATATATATATATATATACATATATACATACATGTATATACATACACACACACACACATATAGTTTTGGTTTGCCGCGGAGTAGGAACCAACCCACAGCTGACCCTCCAGTGGGTTTTCAGAGACCATAAATCTCACAGGAGGAAATTATCCATCCTCCTACTGAGGAGCTGATGCATTCCAACCACATTCCTCTGAGATTACAGCACAGCTTCCTATCACTAAGTCACCAGAGCTCTAAGGGATGTGTATATGTGTGTGTTTATACACACACATACATACTCTGGTTGTCTAGCAGTAAGAAGTTGCATTGCCAACCCAAAGGCAGGCTGTTTGAATCCACCAGCAGGAGAAGGATAGGCTGTCTCCTCCTGTGGGATTTACTGCCTCTGTAAACTTTCTAGAGAGTCAGCTATGGATGGATTCTGACTTGATAGTAAACAGCAGTGTGTGTGTGGTGTATATCCCTCCATATAACCAGCAAGTATTGATTGATCTATTTTATCTTGCCTTAAAGCCTCTAATATTAAAAAATACTTTAAAAAGTAAGCATGCATTTGGAGAAGGAGACAATCATTTATATATTGTATATAAGTTTCTCCACTATATACTTTAGGATTCTGACATTTTTTACATGGGAAATAAACTTACAGCTGGAAGATAAAATGAAATCCCCTCCCAACCATTGCACAATCAGGGTAATAAGGCTTTCAAAGTGCCTCCCCACACATTCAAGTCAGTGTTCCATTTGCAGAAATTGACTGATAAGCATTTTTATAGAGTAATAATATTGTTAAAAGGATCTTCAAAAAAGTTTATCACTAAATAGATTTCATGCTGTGTATAAAACAAAGTAAGCAGGCTTTGGAGTCAGACATTAGGTTTTCGTTTACTTGGTCAGATACCCTGAAATGGAAATATCTTTTCCTCCTGGGAAGGTTAAGACTAAATTCTTTGTAGTTGTTAGAGTATTGTAGGTGTCTAAATACAAGAAATACTGATTTCGTGTTATCACCTTCTTTATTAAACTGTGATTACTTAAATAATTTAGGTGGTTAAAAACAAAATATATCACTAATAAGTCATTAGAAAACATTTTGTTTTATTATCATATACTTCATGTTAAAACCATAGGCTTCATGGGTGGGAGTAGAACCAAGTTTTAATTAAAATTTAGATTTCGTGATAACCTCTCTGAAGAGAGTGTATCACAAAGGAAATGAAAATGGAGCATGTCTTGTTACATAAATCTAAAGTAGTTCCAAAGGTTGATAGTAAGTTAGCTTCTCACAATGACAGTTCATGGTACATTAGCTCTTGAAATTTGCTCAAGGAGCTGAGGAAACAACAGTAATTCAGTAATTATCCATTTCCTCTGAAAAAAAGCTCTTCTACACTGGCAAAAAAAGTAAATCCACTGACACTCTCTCTGCCTTTTCCCTTGCTGTTTGTGTTCTTTTTGAGCACGTTATAAACTGTTGCCATTTTTTCAGACCCTGAGCACCTGCTTTCTTAAAATGAACCCAAGTCAGCTCCATTGAATCCCCTTTTCTGGACTTGAACACAGCAGTTAACAGAAACATAACAACTGAGAAGTCATTTACAGGTGGAAAAGGACTTTGGGGAGTTTTCTTGGTCTTAGCAAATTAGCTCAATTAACTAGGGAGGTAGATAAAGATAGATTCTCTTACATGTTAACTCCCCAAGTAAGAGGGGAAAGCAGTGAGGTGCTGGAAACTTTAAGCAGTGCAGTAACTATGAAGATGTGGCCCCCTCCCCTTTTTCTTTTGATAGCTTTCTCTCTCTCTAGTCTTTATGGAGACCCTTCCATATTTCCTTCATAGCAGTTGTAGAAAAGATTTTTATTGTTGCTCTATTATGGCTAAAATGAGTAGATACCAAAAATGAATTGTTATCATTTAAGATGACACATCTGTTACAAGCTTTGCAGCATTTAAAGCTCATTCGCCTCCTTCATGTCATTTTGAACCACATAAGAAATCATGAGGAATGAAGGTAGTATGCATTTTTTAAAAAGGTCAAGAAGCAGTGCTCTTGACAAGGTTCATTTAGGCCTTTGCAGCTGCCTCATCCTCTGCGTGAATTTTCCATAGGCTACTGAGCACAACATAGGACTGCTATCCAACTGTCTTTGCTTTGATTCTGACTCAGAACAAACTTAAGGGCCAAAGTAGAACTGTCTCTGTGGACAAGTTTCCAAGGTTCCAAATCTTAATGGAAGTAGACGGCTTTGTCTTTTTCCTACAGAGCTGTTGGTGAGTTCCAAACTGCAAACGTTTTTTGGTTACATTCAGGTGCTTTAGTTCAGAATTTTTATAGCAGAATACAGATAAGTAGCATGAAAAATATTTTTTGTTTCCTTTAGCTAAGCAAACTCAAATTAGCTTTTGAGTTATTTGGTTATTATCTCCTAATATCGAGAGTTGATTTGACTCAGTGGCACATGGCACATATAAGTTAGTACTTCCTGCCAGCTTCATCATGAATTGCAGTTAGGTCTCATGTAATTGTTTGAGAGATTTCCTACTGTTAAAATTAAAAGTTTATTTTTATATTTCTTATTTAGTACCTGGAGTAGAGCAGAACATTTATTATGCCTGTGCTCCCTTTGGACTCTTTGGAAATTGTACACTGACATCTCCTGGGATTTAATCTGGTGAGTTATAGTTTTGCTTTTTCAGTTTGTTAACCAGTTGTGTGGATGTAATGCCCATCATGCGTTTTAAAGACTACAAAGATAAAGCAAAAAGGTGCAATATTAGTGTACTATCGCAGATAGGTATGCTGCAATCACAAAATTTTCAATGTTGACAACTGAAATGCTGTTGTTTTATTTGACTCATTTGCCTTCTTTGTTGACTAAGTTTACTTTTTTAAAAAATTGTGTATGATAAAGGTAATATTATAGAGCCATTTCACTAGGTGCTGGTGAGAGGTAGTTACTCTAATTTTAGTGACATTTTAGTAAATGCATTAATGTCCTCCTATCTATTGCCATACATAAAAAATCAAATCCCTATGCGCATCCAGAAACTTCTCCAACAGGGTAAAAAGGGAAGCTACAGACTGGGAAAAAGTATTTGGTAATGACATGTCAGATAAGGAGCTTATATCTAGAATTTATAAAATACTTGAGCACCACAAGATACAGGTAAATAATCCAATCGAAAAGTGGACACAGGATATGAACAGACATTTCACCAAAGAAGACATTCAGTTGGCCAACAAGCACATGAAGAAGTGTTCAAAATCCCTAGCTCTAAGAGAGATGCAAATCAAGACAACTATGAGATACCATCTCACCCTGGTAAGCAAGCAACAAATGCTGGTGAGGTTGTGGAGAGACTGGAACCCTTATTCACTATTGGTGGAAGGTGGTATGGCACTTTCCCAAAAAGTTGCAAATAGAGATACCATTTGACCCAGCAATTCCACTACTGGGAATATTTCCCAAAGAGACCATAACTGACATCCAAGCAGGTGTATGCACACCCATGTTAATTGTGGCTTTGTTCACAATAGCAAGGAGTTGGAAACAACCCGGGTGCCCTTCAACAGACGAATGGATAGAGAAGCTGTGGTATATTCACGCAATGAAATACTACGCTGTACTGAAAAACAAGGAGCTCATTTAATACTATTCAAAGTGGGTGACCCTGGAGGACATTATGATGAGTGAAATATCTCAGTCACAAAGGGACAAATACTGTATGGTGCTACTGCTGTAGAATGAGTCTGACATCAGGGTTGGGGTAAGATTGAGAAAAACTGGATAAATTAGGTATACTGCTTTGAAGCCGATGAAGGAGAGAACAGTTTAAAAGTAATATATTTTAGGGCATTATGATTATCATAAGAGTTCGGAATGAGGGTTTCAGAGTGGAGTATACTCGGGATGAGGGTAGGGGGACGCAGGGGGTGGATTGTATACTAATGAAGGAGTTTTTCTTTTGCTTTTCAAGGAGAAGAGCAAATTGGGGGTGGGGTGGGGTGGGCTGGGAGAAAAGTGCAACAGTGAATGAATGGAAATCCAAAATCTCTGTAAATGTTCATTGAAATTAAAAAAAAAAGAAAAAAAATGGCAAACAGGTGACTGAAAGGAACCTCATTTTCACTTAGACATGTATTTGTAGCAGTGCCCTAAAAATGTGTGTAATGCTTCTTTTACCACACAATTAATTTAAACTGTTAAATATATGGGATCTTGTTGCCCTTCTTTCATTGTATGGTCTCTGTGTCTATCTGAAACAGTTGTCCCAGTCTTTAAAAGTGGCAACGATTAATCCTGATCTTTTGACTCTGTAAGAGTTTTGAAAACTGCATTAATTAGCATGAGTTCATGCTTTGATATGTCATTCGCCTTGCTCAATATCTTTGTAGATCTCCTTTGAACTGCTTAGAAAGGTCATAATCCCTGAAAAAGCAGTTTCATAATACAGATTTCCAAATCAGCAGTCAGCAGCAGAATGATTCAAAGGAGTGAAGAGGAAAAGCTAAAACTTTCAGTTTTTATTAAGTAGATACAGCCCATTAAATTTGACAATATTGGAAAAATAGAAACTTTAATAAAACCTTTAATTTTGAGGAAAAAGAGTATAAGAAGTTTGAAAACTACGAGTACCAGAGTGGTTTTAGAGGCTATGACATAAGAAACAGTGTGGCTGGATCAGTAACTGTTGTAGCTGTCTAGTGCTGTATAACAGAAATACCACAAGTGTATGACTTTAATAAACAAAAACTTAGTCTTTCCCAGTTCAGTGTCATTTCTCCTACGTAACCGTCTACAGTTGGGGTTACTGGGTTGTTCAATAAGCGTATGTTTCCCAAAGTTTCTATGACTGCAGTAAGTCCGTGAGCTATGAATGTTTGATTTACAGACAACTTGTGCTTACCGTTTCATGTTATGTAAATTTACCCTTACCTTGAATCAGTTGAACTAACAGTTTACTTATTCTTCATCATAATCATCTTCACTTACAGCATATGTAGTATTCTATCATGGAAATGACTCTGAGCCTTTTCTTGGTAAGGTAAGGCTAAGTAATTCATTACCTCTTATCTACAGATTTGACTTAAAGATTGCCTTGAGAACCTGTCTTCTTTGTAATCTAGAGGACTGCCTGTGTATATCAAATTGCATGTAGATGAGGGAGCCCTTGCCCTCATTCAGCACAGATTCACTTTTCATTTCTATCTAGTTTTAACAAGTATGATGAACAGATATTTCTAGCCCACAACTGATTAGAAACGAAAAGAAAATTAGAAAACCCAAGGGTCTGTTAGCAGTACTGGAAACAGCCCAAAATGATACCTACCACATGACAGTAATTACTGATAAGAAAGAGAGCAGGGAGTTTACAGGTGTGAAATTTTTCTGACAAGTTCCCATACTTGTATGGTAGAATCAAATGGGGATCTTTTAAAAATTCCAAAGCCCAAGCAACATTGAAATCAGCTGGATTATCAGCTGTGGGCTGGTTCCAGCTTGAGAGTTACACAGCACCAACAAGCAACGTCCCAGATCAGATGAATCCTGGATGTAGGGACAGAACACTGACATCACTATTTTTTATTGTGATGACTCCAGTGTAGAGATGTATTTGAGAACTGAGTGCTTAAAGCCCACTCAGTTTGTTGAGATGAGACAGAAACATAGTCTGTTGACGTGGCTTGTAGTCATGGTATTAGCCCTTGCTTTCAGTGTCCTCTTTCTATGATGCAGTAGAGGGTGGCAGGGTGTCAAAATAGGTGAAGTCTGAGATGATCTTGGCTTTTTTATTATTATTTTATTAGAGTGTGTGTGTGTGTACCGTCAAATCAGATCTGACTGGTACAGGAGGAGATTGTCCCTCCTTTCCCAGCAGAGCATCTGGTGGATTTGAACCGTGCGCCTCTGGGCTTGCAGTGCAGCTTCTTGCCACTAGGCCACCAGAGCTCCCCGATCTTGGCTTCTAAAACTCTATCGTTAGACTGATAATATTCATGCTTAGGAGGCATCGTTTCACAAGGATTTGCTCTGTCTAAATTGCCTTGGTTTGAGTTCCCTTAAAAAGGATTTGTTGACATGATGGTATTTTTGTTCTGTCTACTTAAGACAGCTACTCCCATCCTCCTCCCTTATCTATTTTCTTTTATTTGATGCTTTGCTCTAAGTTGCTGAAAACATTTGAGAATATCGAAGAGTTTTCTTATTACTAGGAGTGAATTTATTTGATAAGGCTGATGGGAGGAAGAAAAACATTCCCAGAATTCAATGCTTTGCCAAAATAATTCTGCTTTGTATGGCAGTTGTGAAACTTATCAGCTATTTTCAGAGCTTGCTGAAGGAGCGAAGATATATAGGTTTTATTTTCAAGATGCTTCTGTTTGTGCCTGAAGGAAGCTTAGCCTCTTGGAGAGTGTTTAGAGCTATCTGTACATACAGGTCTTTCAAATGGGCTTGTCCTTGGGCAGTGGATTCCCCTGTAAGTGTTGCAGTCTGGACCTATCTGCTTTCACCTCAGCTAAAATAGTCTTTTTGGAGTAGGAATTCACATTTGCTTGCTGTTCTCACTAAGCTCTAGCAATTTAAAAATTCTGCAGTATTTACAGTACAATTTTTTTCTTCCTTTATTTTCAGGAAAACTAATTTGAGGTGTTTTTTTCTCTTTTCTTTTTTAAATGAAGAGAGGGTTTGCCTAATTCTTACAAGTGAAATTAATACAATAGTTGAAGTCAGAATATTTTTTTTTCTTTTAGCTGTTTTGGAAAATCAAGTTGTTTCTGTTAAGTGCTATTGATTTAAGTATGACTCATAGTGACTCCATGAAAAAAAGATCTGAACCCTGTTCTCTCTTTTGCCATCCTCACACTTTCTGACACAGTAGAAAGAGCCCGCTGTGGCAGGTCATTATGTCAATTCATCTGGTCGAGCTCATTTCTCTTTTTCACTGACCCTCAACCCATTCTAGCATCATGTTCCTCTCTAAGATATAGTCACTCCTAGCACGTGACCAAAGTATGTGAGGTGAAGCCTCATCATTCTTGCCTCCAAAGAGCACTTTGGCTGCACCCTCTCCAAGACTTATTTGTTTATTCTTTTTGTTTTCCATGGGATGTTTAGTGCTCTTCTGCAACACTATAGCTCAAAAGCGTAAATTCTTCTTCTGTCATCCTTATTCATTGTTTAGCTCTCCGATGCACAGCAAGTGATTGGACTGCATCAGATGCACCTTAGTACTCAGACTGACATCATTACTCTTCATTAATTTGGAGAGGTCTCTAACTGCAAATTTTCCCAGTGCAATGCATCTCCTTATTGCTTGACTACTTTGAACATGTTGTAAGGAGAGACTGGTCCTTGGAGAGGGACATCATGCTTGGGAGGGTGGAGGGACAGCGCAGGAGTGGAAGGCCCTCTATTAGATGGATTGATTCATTGACTGGGGTAATGGGGATGGGTGTGTCAGAGATGGTGCAATTGGCACAGGACAGAGCAGAGTTTAGGGCTGTTGTACATAGGGTCGCTGTGAGTCACAAGCGATTCGACAGCACATAACAACAACAACAACAACAACAACACTGGTACTAAGGGTGTTAATTGTGGATCTAAGTAAGGTGAAGTTGTTGACAGTTTCAGTCTCTCTCCATCCATCCTGATGTTGCCTGTTGGTTCAG